GTGGCTACTCCTTGGTCCTTAGACATGGGGAATCTTTCTTCATGGGTTCCAACATCTTCCTGTCAAAGGTTGCTCAGCGGCTAGTTGCATTTTTGGTGTTCTTGCAGGAGATAATGGGCACACATCCTTCTACTCTGCAACCTTGATATCTCATTTTCCACTATACTATACTAGAAATGTTTTCTTTCTATGATTTTAGTGTGCATTTGGTGTCCTGAGCACTCATATGATCTCATTTTAATTCTTACAACTAAAGAATTAGCCTCTATACAGATGAAGTAACTGAAAGATCAAAAAGAGGTTGTTGGTACCTAGCGGCAACAACATTCCTCAAACCCCAGGTAATACCAGTGGGCTAAAAGAGACTCAGTGATTGTCCCATGGTGAATGCAGAGGAGAGAAAAAGAGTAAGATACAACTTCACAAATGCCAGTACAAACCACTGGGATTAGGTCTCTAGGAGTGAGTCTGGCAATATATTTTTTTGCTTTGTTTTCATATTTATTTTTTTGTCCACACTGGGTCTTGGCTGCGTGTCGTGGGATCTTTCATTGCCGTGCACTGACTTCTCTCTAGTTGGTGTTTGTGGGCTCCAGAGCCAGAGCTTGCTTAGTTGCCTCCAGGCATATGGAACCATAGTTCCCAGACCAGGGCTCAAACCTATGTCTCCTGCCAGACAAGGTGGATTTTTAACCGTTAGACCACAAGGAAGTTCCTGGCAATGTGTTTTAAAAGCAGCTAAAGTAATTCTTATTCAATCTGATAAACATTTGGGACCGTTGGTCATCTCCTTTTCTCTTAGCACATGCCATTTTATTATTATTTTTAATGAAAGGCTTTTCTCTGCTCAGGTACCAAAGGATATTAAGGCCCAGATAATAGGGCTCAGGATTTAGATCATTTGAAATTGGATTTCTTTTCTCTTTTTTGGCTGCACTGTGCAGCTTATGGGATCTTAGTTCCCTAACCAGGGATTGAATGCTAACCCTCAGCAGGGAAAGCTCAGAAACCTAACCACTGGACTGCCAGAGAATTCCCTGAAATTTTATTTCTAACACACTTGGTATTAAGGTATAAAAGCTTACAGTGCATTTGCTCTTAAGATCCTGATCAGAAACACCCATCCTGAGGTAGAGTGTCATAAGAATAGTTAAAGTGAAAATTTTGCATTTGGTATTACCTCAATCTTGATTTTAGCTCATATATATTATTTTATATACAATAAACCATTCATGTGTCTGCAAGCCATTTATTTTCTGAAAGAAAATCAATATAGCAGAATTGAAACAAGAGCTACTTTTATATACTGATTATAGGTCCTTAAATTCCAATTTTAAATACTAACAAATCAGTCTAACCCTTTTCCATCTTTTTGTCCTCAGTACCATCTGGGATTGACAGTTCAACCTGAACTCTACCTTCTGAACACCATGGATGCTGAGTCACTTGTGTCTAGATGACTGATAACTGATAGCCTGGGAAACTATATATGACCCACATTCTCTTAGTCCTTTGTGCCAAGTGTTATGTTAATATATCTCTGTTTGTTCAGTGTTGAGTTTTGTTCAAACTTTTGAACAAAAGGGAAAGATTTCCTCATAGGAAGGGTGTGAAAGGCTGATAGCTGTTAAATGTAGGTCAGAGACCCACCCACCTCACAAGAGTCCTACAACTGCCAGAGTTAAATGATTAGCCTATGATGGCCACACACCCCTATGGGCTTGTGTCTGGACTTCTGCAATTTAAAAAAATATATATGTGTGTATGTTTATGTAAACCTGAACATATCAGTTTGGGTAGAGTTTTATATAAAAGTGATAGATATGTTCTATTTTTTAAAACAAATATTGCTCAAATAAATCAGATATTTATTTTGTATGAATCACAAATGACAAAGGAAAAAGAGCACTGTTCTTTTTCAGAATGAACTGGTTAAATTGACTTATTTTTAAAGTGATACTTGACTATGGCCGGTTAAACTTGACTTGGATTTAATTAAACAGCCCTTGGTAACTACTAGTATTAGTACATCATTTCCAAAGACGACTTTTCTTTATTTGATAGTTATATTTCATCCTGGTTGTCAGCATGCTCTGTGATTGTTATTTTCTCTATTGTTTTTCTTGAATTTTTTTTTTCAGAGATATGATGGTATTTTCCAAAGAGCTTAATACCTAGGAACAGGATCCAGAAATTATACTTTAACCAATGATCAGTTTTCCATACTGCATTGTGACTCAGCCCATTCTAGCATTTTAGGTATAAAGAGAATTCTAACACTGAACTTTGTAAGGCCCAACAGAAGATAATGAGAATTTTCTTCCTAATGTATGTATAGTCCCACCATGTCTTTTCTTCCCCCTTTTCCCATTAATACTCCAAACATGATTTCTAGGTCAAAGTCTATTTCTGTAGTGGCTAATGTTTCTAATGCTGACTCTCCTAGGGAATGTTAAGCATTTTAAGTTATTTATAGCAAGTGGTATGATATTAGAACTAGGCTGGGGCTTGGAAGATTAGTCCACAGGTCACAAACTGCCTGCCTGCATGTGGGTTATAGTTTTTTTTTGATGCTCCTTCCTAACTAGGATTTTTTAAATTTCATAACTTTGTTTTTTTTGAAGGGAGTCGAAACTGTTTACTTGACAACACAATTAAACAGCTGGTGGTTTTAAAGTCAGTCTAGGTTCAAGATGGCGGATTAGAAGGACGTGCGTACCCATCTCCTCCTGTAAGAGCAAAATATCGCAACTAGCTATTGAACAACCATTGACAGAAGGATGCTGGAGCCCACCAAAAAAAATACCCCATGTCTGCTAGTGTTGGAGACTCCCATGGTGGCATGGGTTGACAGTGGCTCACTGCAGGAACCTGGGCACCCATAGCAGCCTCCATAAAATTTGTATAATAAAACATTTAATACTTATACTTGGAAGTTTCTGCATATTGATCTGATTGAAAAGTCAGAAGATTTTCAACACCAGGCTCACATCCCTTCATGGAAGTGTAGTTGGCTTACACTGGTGGCACTATCCATTTTTAATGGAATACACTCCATGCCTTCTCTCATTTCCTTTCAGCACCAAAGGCATTGAGTTTACAAACCCTGCAGCCTTTGTATGTTTGAGCATAATTTTCCTCCTTTAGCATAAACCTTACTGCTTTATTTTAAAACTTAGCACTTTCCAGACATTGCCTTTGTTCATTTATAATTTGATCCTCTAAGTGGCAGGGATTTTTTTACCAAGATGATTCTTTAAAATGCCCTCATTTCTACTTTGTGGCCCTTGAAACTTCTCATAAGAGCAACAGCCTTGCCAAACAGGTTATAGACCTTCTGATCTTAAAAGTAAAACTGAGTTAACACCATTTATCAGCTTTTACTTGAAAAAGAAACTAAAAAATGAGTTCCAGTGTTTTGGTTTCTTTATACAGCGACAGCAATTCTAGATGAATCAGTTTGTTAGAAGAGCCCATTTCTGAGTAAATACTTCAGTTCATCTATTTTTAATGCTCAGTGTGTTTTGGGAGAGGGAGGTCTTTCTGGTAGCCTTATTAGAAGTATCTTTTCCTAGTGTAATCAACATGAAGGAGGACATTTCTATGCCAGAGGTCTTAAATTTTCCTGATTTCATGGAACATATTAGAGCCAACAGCTGGAATGTTTGTTCTAGTGGAATAGAGTAGTTGGATTCTTTCCTCGCCTGTTTTCTAAAGTGTTGACTGAAACACGTATGCTTGTTGGTGGCACTTGAAGAGCCTCATAATAAGTACAGATGGCAACTTTAAAACTAATTACCCTGAGCCAGTAGAGAAAAGTGTATATAATACACAGAACAGTGAGTTAGTGTCTAGACTGCAGATAGACTTTCAAACATTCCTGCATTTTTCCCTTCCCCAAACGCTAGACTTCACCTTCCAGTCAGAGTATTTCTCTACTACAGAAAATATCAAGGAAGAGGAAATCATCACCACAGATCATATTACATGCATTTTAGTGTATTTTTTGGTTTTTTTTACCATGTATTCTTGTTTTTATCTCAGTGGGTACTTTTTTGTTCGCCCTTTGGTTTTCTTTCCCATGCCTGGAGTCAGAATAAATCTGAGGCATAGCAGTCGTGACTTCAACAAGATGGAACTAGTTTTTAGAACCTTAGGGCTTATAGAGGAGCCTGAGGCCTCAGGTGTACTTCACATTTATTATCTTCTTTGTTTCTTGTGTTTTCTGCAGTGTCATGCCAGATTAGCAGTAGCACAAATGGACTAAATCTTTCCACTCCCACAATACTGCCATTTGAAGGGAAAAGGGATTGTTTTAGCAATTTACCTTTGTATTCCTAGAAATACTTTGGAGAAGTATAAAGATGAATGCACAAATATTTAATGTTAGACATTTATGTTTGTGGTAAATAAGTCAAGTTTCTATATGAGAGTGAGGTGTAGAGTGGTAAACCAAATTTTTTTTTTTAAATTTCACTGTGTACCCCCCTTGCAGTGCACAGCCTTGCTGCTCCACTGGGGCCCTCAGGGCAGAACCAAATTTAAATAACAACATGGCCATTCATTTGTTTCTGATGTAATTTTTGCCCATTCTAAAAAGGACTTTATGAATGCCTTAATTACCTTGCCCTGTCTGGAGAGAATAAAGCAATGAATACAGCATCACATTTAATATGGAGAAAATTTTTCTGTAGCCATTACATAACTCCTAATTTTCAGATTGATTTGGCATAATATAGATTATTTTCTGCCACTAACTAGAAAATAATAATTTTAAAAGTCAGAAAATCATGTCCTAAAAGAAATCATGTTCTAAAAGACAACAACAATACATTTTTGAGTTGACTATTTATGATTGTTGATTTGGAAGTCAACATCTTAAACAATTGAAGGCTATGAGAATTCTGGCTGAAACTTCAGCAGTATAATTTGCTACTTATTGAAAATTCATTCTTCGTAAGTGCTTTTCAGAAGGCTTCTTATTTTTCTTGTGTGTAAATTCATTTTTTGTACCTATTGAAGAATCGAGGTCTAATGTAATCCTTGTACATAGAGTAGAGAACACCTAGGAACAAAATACGTATATCAATAGAGTATTCATGGGAAACAGACACTGCATTTCTTCACTTGTATTTTTTCTAAAACTAACCTACAATTAAAAACAAACACCCTCTATCTTATTAATTTTTGGTTTAGATCATAAAAGTGGCTCTAGGAAAAAAACAAAACAAAACTCAACTTCGATCCCTGAGTTGGGAAGATCCCCGGAGTAGGAAATAGCAACACACTTGAACCAACCCAGTACTCTCGCCCGGAAAATCCCATGGACAGAGAAGCCTGGTGGGCTATACAGTCCATGGGTCACAAAGAGTAGGACACAATGTAGGTATTTCCTGGAGTTCTGATCCCAATGCTTTTCTCACCTCATTCACACCTATGGTTTCACTCCTAAGCAAGTAGATCTCTCTTCTGAGAGTGAGACCTATATATAGACTATATTAAATGTGACATTTCAACATCCCATATGTAGATGGTCTCCAAAACTTGTATACAAGCAACTATGTTGAGCATGCCCCTGTGGGTGCATTTATAAACAAAATAAATGTACTATAGCCAGTCAATATACTGATAAATCTTTTTCATTTTGTTTTTGGCTTTGGCTGCACAGTGTGGCATGTGTGCTTGGGTGCAAAATCATCTCGGCTGTGTCTGACTCTTTATGACCTTATGGACTGTAGCGCACTAAGCTCCTTTGTCCATGGGATTCTCCAGGCAAGAATACTGGTGTGGGTGGCCATGCCCTCCTCCAGGGGATCTTCCTGAACCAGGGATTGAACCCACATCTCCTATATTGGCAGGTAGGTTCTTTACCACTAGCACCACCCAGGAAGCCCAGTAAGGCATGCAGGATCTTAATTTCTCCACCAGGGATAGAACCCATCCATGCCCCCTGAATTGGGAGTGTGGAGGGAAATCCCCCCGCAGGCATCTTTCTAAATTGTTATTCTGACTATGTTACTCCCCTGTTTAAACCCTTCACTGGTTTACTTCATCTTGTTACTCCTCAACTAGCAACCATGAAAATCTATAGGGGGATCTGTTTTATATCAATTTAGCTAAGCTGTTACTATGTTTTCCAGGATTCCCTTCTCTGCATGGTGGTGGTAGTTTAGTCGCTAAGTTGTGTCCGACTCTTGTGATCCCATGGACTGTAGCCCGTCAGGATCCTCTGTCCATGGGATTTTCTAGGCAAGAATATTCGAGTTATTTGCCATTTCCTTCTCCAGGGGATCTTCCCCAACTCAGGGATCGAACCCAGGTCTCCTGCATTGCAGGCAGATTCTTTACCAATTGAGCTACCAGGGAAGCCCCCTTCTCTGCATAGTTCTGAGTTAGCTTGGCCATGAGAGACATTTTCCTTGAGATTTGAAGGTGAAAGGATACCTTTCCAAATACTTTTTGCACTTGTCAGGCTTGGTACAGAGGACCAGGTGCTATTATAGTTTGTGTGTGTTGTTGTTTATCTGCTGGCTCTCTTTGCTACTGTTGGGCAGCAGTCAGGCCCACAGGTCTTTCAGCTCCTTGTGAATCTCCTCTATTAGCTTTTCTGGCTCCTGGGCCAGATATGGATAATAGAGGGTTCCAGCTTTTCTTAAAGGTCATGCCATCTAGGTGGGAGTCGACAAGATTCTGACTCAAGTTTCCACTTGTCTTTGTGGGTTCCAGTTTATCCTTGCAGATTCTAGTTTCTTTTTCCTTCCCAACTGCTGCCTTGTTCAGGTGCCAGGATTAGAAATATAACCAACAGCCTAACATGGACTGTTTAACCAGCTACCCAAATTGCTTAAGGTCATATCTCTATAATAAATCCCTTTTTCTGTATCACTACTAGTAGTTTTAGAAGGAAATGGCAACCCTCTCCAGTATTGTTGCCTGGGAAATTCCATGGAGAGAGGAGCGTGGCTACAGTCTATGAGGTTATGAAAGAGTTGGACATGACTTAGTGACTAAACAACTAGTAGTTTTGCTTATCTGAATTGAACAGAATGATACAGAATTTGGTATCAGAAGCTCCCAGAGGAACATAACCCTAACATAATCTAACATAACCCAGAGGATTGGTTCTGTGAATTAGTTCTGGGTTATTTGGAGTTGGTTCTCTAATATGATTAGATTTAAAGGTATTAATGGCCTTTCTCCCCCATTCCAGTAGCTAAGAGTATGCTGGCAGTCCATGGCATACATTAACAAAACATTAAAAAAAATTATCACCTTGCAGATATCCTTAACCATGTGCCTATAGAAAGCAAGGCTTTAGGTGATCAAGTATATACTGCCATAGAACATTTAGTGGAAATAAGGAGTATAATATAGTTGGTTACTTCTAAGTGTACTGGAAAACTTGGGAAAACTATACAATGGGCTCATGGCTTTTTTTTTTTAAAGATGCAATTTATTATTTTTTTTTATTTAGATACACAAGGTCTCAGTTGCAGCATGTGGGATCTAGTTCCCTGATTAGGGATCAAACCCAAGTCCCTGCATTGGGAGCTTGGAGTCTTAGCCACTGGACCTCCAGGGAAGTCCCTGAGCTCATAGCTTTTAATTCCTAGCTCAGGTTTGCATGAGGGAACTGAAAGCTTTATGACTTTCCAAAAAGAAACTCAATTCCTGTGGCCATGAGATTGCTTTTTTTGAAAAATATCCAGGGTCTAACCTTGTGAGTGATTAATCACAACACAAAATGAATTCCCAGCCTCACAACACCTCTTATATTAAAGTTTAGGGCATTGCTTTGGAAGGAATGGGACTCTGAAAATTGGAATGGGGACATAAGGTCAGATTTCAGTGAAAGTGGGTCCTTGAGCCCCAATATTTTACTGACACTACTATAGAGAAACAGTTCTCTATATCTGTCTGAGAAAGATTGAAACTTGGGCCAAAAAGTAGTCTCCACTAAATGAAGCTGAAATACCAGAACTTCCTTAGTATACTTCCATGGCAGAGCAGTGATTCTTCTGACCTATGGAGTAGGGGCTCTTATGGTAGGGAAAGCTAAGTGTAAACCATTCTATATGTATGTATCTATCATCAAAGTAATACTGCATTCCCAGGGGGATTGTATAGCTTAGTATCATCAGCAATGACTTTAAAGATGCCAGGGTGGTGATTTCTACCACATCTCTATTCATTTTGCCTCTTTTGCCAGAAGGCAGAGAGATCTTAAAGAATGATAATGGATTTATAAAAACTTAATCAGGTGATCAGTCTAATTGCAGCTACAGTACACGTGTGATTTCAGTGCTATAGCAAATCAACCTAATTTTTGCTATCTGATTTGCAGCTGTTAATCTGATGGATTGCTTTTTTCTGTATACCTTTTGGTAAAGACCATCAGAAGCATTTTGCTTTCATCCGGCAGGGCCAGCGGTATACTTTCAGTGTTGAGTCTCAGGACTGTGTGAACTTTCCAGCCCCTATGCCACAATCTAGTCTGTAGGACCTTGATCATCTCTATTCCACAGGATATCACATCAGTCCACTACATTGATCGGATCTATCAAGGGCAAATTGCTACTATATTGTTAGGCTAGGGAGAAGGGTGTCTGGAATGTATACCTTCTGGGGCATTTCTTAGTACTCCCATGTCCTGTGATTAAAGAAGGTGGAAAATTACACCCAATACAGGAAGGATGATTAATGACCCACATCATTTAAGAATGAAGGTTTGGGTTAACACCCCAGTCAAATAACTATGAATAGCCAAGGTGCTTTTGGAAGGCAAAGGGTGGATAAAATGTCTAGTGGAAAAACATGGTTATAATATGAGTCATGCTCACCTGATCAGTTGCAGAAACAAAGACTGTGATGGTTATGAATATTTCTTCCTTATTTTTATATGAATACACTTGTGTATATTCACCAGTTTTTTTTTTTTTACTGTTTGCCACTTTCATTTACCTACCATCTAATATAAAAAATGTTAATAGTAGTTAACCTTATACCTCAGTATTTAAGTCACAGGATATCAAAAGGGAACATGACTCAGCTCAAAAATGAATCAATATCACCCAAAGGGACTTTGTATCCTCCTGAGGAAAGAGTTAGCATGTTTTTGGTTGTACAAGGCATGTTTGATTTTGCCATTTGTCTTTATTTGAAGCTAAGTGTATTAAGAGACGTATATACGAATGCCAAGTGGACAAGGAGTAGAAGGTGATGGATTTGTATTGTGTGAACTTAGCTAAAATGTAACTAGGTTTTCCAGAATTCATTTCCTTTTGTCAACTACAAATTGGCACTTGCCATCTACCTTGATAAGTATTAAATCATGTGCTGCTGCTGCAGCTCTTGATTTTCAACACCCCCTGAAAGGAGTTTAGGGTAGAAAGCAGAAATGAGCCATTCTGTGCTCAGGGAAAAACTGGGAAGACAGGTCTTCAGACAGTTAGATATTTTCAGGAGCTGACTTTATGAGCCCAATTCTTATATCTCCTATCTAGAAAAGCACTAAAATCCTTCATGGTGATGACTATTCTTTGTGACTACCAGAAAGACTAGCAGACTAGCAGAAGACTAGCTAGAAACCTTCTGGAAAAATATGTGCTTGACTCTATGTATTCCCCCTTCACCAAAATCACATACATAATGATGTTACCCCCACTCCACCCCACCCCTACCTCTTTGGAGTAGTTTCTGAGTTATCTGAGGTGTTGTCTCCCAGGCTGAAATCTTCATTTTGCCCCAAATAAACCTCAATTTGTAACTGTCACATTGTGCATTTTTTTAAGTCGACACTTTCATTCCCTGAAAAACTGCACAGGAGACACTTAGCATGAGCCTAGAAGGCTGAAGTAAAGCAGCAGCCAAGTTCTTTAAGCCGACAAGGCACTGCTGCAGCAGGTTTTCCCATCTGCGGGCCACCTTGCTGGCACGGGGCAGCAATCAGCAGTGCAGCCACTATGGCTCCTGCTGAATTTACTCTTTCACTTTCTCTGACTCCTTGGCCAGGGCTGTGTTTAGTTCCAGGATGAGCAGCATCAGCTTTTTCTGTCACTCCCAGCATCTACTTTGAAGGCTTAGAAATGGTGAGAAATCCACAAGGATTCCAGAATATCCTGTGTGTTCTAGGTCATCCTTATAGGTTCTAGATTTTCCTTGCTTTTCTCATTTTTCATCTACCATTTCTTAATAACTGCTTGCTCTGACCACTTCAGGTCCCAGTTCCTGATACATAAGCAAGAGCCTTACAATTACATAAATCCAAATACCTACAACAAATCTCTTACTTTATGCTACTACTAGTAGTTCTAGTCTCAACAATCACAGATTGACTCACCTACCATACCGCTACATAGAGTTCCACTAACATGCCATGCTTTTATGACTTTTTCCTCTGCCTGGAGTCCCAACTTCCTTCTCTGCTTAGCTATTTCCTCTGCATTCTTGGCTCATCACATGGTTTGTATTCTTAGAGAAGCCTCCCCTGAATTCTCAGCTCTAAATGCCCCTCCTTTATGCTAGTGCTTCCAGAGCAACCTGTTATTTTGCTGTAGTACATTTGACTTTATTTTGTCTTCTCCTGCTCTTGGTCTCTCTCCCTAAGGAGACTAAACTGTTTGAGGGTAGGGAATTACTTTTCATATCTCTAGACCAGCACAGTGCCTTGCACATAGCACATGCGCAGTGTTTGCTGAATGATGAAAATGAGAACATATTACTGTGTAGTAATGTTTCCTGTTGTATTTTGTTCAAGTATCACATATCACAGCTCATAATAAGAAGATAATTACCATATAACTCCCTCTGTGTAAGTCCCACACTCATCATCTCATAATCCTAGACCTACTCAGGCTGAATATACTTTGCACAGAATGAATGGGAGCTAAGAACATTGTGACTTGTTCTTATTAATATAGACAAAAAAACCTTAGATAATTTAGGTCCCAAAGTAGATTCTTTTTCTATTTGAACTATCTGATTTAGCTGTTGATATAACCTGAATAAACCAGATAATTTTACACCATTCTTTGGATTTGACTGTGTAAATGTCACTTAATTTACAGACTAATAAAAAAAATTGCCTATCGCTCAAGCTGAATAGCTGAGTTACATAGGGTATAAACTATTCACTGCTCCTTTTACTACAGAGGATAATACAAACTATAACCTAGTTCTCTACTAGGTTTTTCCTTTTTAAAATTGAAGTATATTTCACATACGTCATGGTGTACAACATAATGATTCTGTATTTGTATGTATTGTGAAATGATCATCACAATAAGCCGAGTTAACATCTATCACCAGATATAGTTACAGAATTTTTTCTTTTGATGAGAACTTTCAAGATGTACTCTCTTAGCAACCTTCAAATATGCAATATAGCATTATTAACTATAGTCACCATGCTATACATTATATCCCCACGACTTATGTATTTTATAACTGGAATTTTGTACCTTTGCCTACTGAGTTTTTTTTTTCAGTGCTTAAACTACCAAGGCATTAAGCCTATAACTGGCCAGCAACCTCAACCAAGTGAAGATTGCTGCCTTTCTTTCCAGTCCTCCTCCATTAATCATCTTGATCCAATATTCATGAATGAATATGAATGAATGAATAAATAAAAATATGCTCTAATCTGAATGAATTAATAATAAAAATACTCTCAAAGATGGTTGAATCATATACAAATTAAGTAGGTTACCTAGAGTCACAGCTCCTACAACAAATCCTTGGGCAGCAACTCTCATGTGAATAAGATGAATGGACATTTTCTGATCTCTTCTGTATTTTAACTTGTAAAGACCATAGGATACCACAGTCACAAAGCCTGCTATCCCTGTAAATTAAAAAAGTAGAGATTATATAAATAGCAAGCTAAAATTTCCCAAGAACTTAGAGATTTGAATAAAGGACTGCCCAAGGGATCAGTATGTGGAAGATAAGCAGGCAAAACACCAAAAACACTTCATTAATGGATTCAGTATTTGCAGGTTTGACTATTTCAGAAAAAATCGAATTGTATAGTATAGAAACTTGTCTAGTAGTTTTCCTGAGGCATGGTTTCAAATTTGTAAGCAGTTAAGACTTTTATTTGGGGCAAGCTGTTTAACCAGTGAGTGAGCCAACCAAAATCTCAACATTCATAGCTTTTGGGTGTTTGGCTTTATTCCTCTCTAGTTTTTATTAATATTAAATAAGGAGTAAATCTAGTGAAGTGAAAGAAACTTTAATATCTTAAGTGAAAATGACATGTTGAGTTTTAGTAAGAGGTAAAAAGGTGTGAATATTTGCATGAGAAGCCTGTGACTCTGGGAAGAACTGTGATTCTAAAAAATTCCAGAAGCCCATACAAATATTTTTTTACATATGTCAAGAACTGAATATACTGCTGTGACAACCAAGATTCTATGCAGTTGACTCTAAAACAGAAAACTGAATAGGAATCAACTGAATAGGGAAAATTCTAGTAAGTGATTTGAAACAGTGTGAGAAGTTAACCCATGACAAATCAAAATAACCATATAACAAATAAGGGGATAACTATCTGAACTAGCTTGAATTTACATCTCACACCAGACCCTACCAAAAAACTCTGGATGGGTTAGAATTAAGTATGAAAACAAAGCAAATTTATTTAAAAAAAAAAATAGAAGAAAATAAAACAGAATATTTATGACATCTAAAAAAGGAATAAGCTAGACTTAAAGTGAGGGCAAAAATACTGTATTTTGATGACAGAATAAAGGAAACTTCTGCATGGTAAAAGTGTGGCTCTATTTTGGAGGATCTCTCTTCTACTGATTTATGCATCTACCTTCATCAATACCACATTGTCTTGACTACTATATCTGTATAGTAACCCTTAATATCAGGTAAGGATGACTCCTCCCACTTAGTACTTTTTCTCCAAAAAGGTTTCTTTATGTCAAACCTCAACATGAATCAGCCATAGATATACATGTATCCCCTCTTGAAGCTCCCCCCCATCTCCCTCCCCATCCCACCCCTCTATGTTAATACAGAGCCCCTGTTTGAATTTCCTGAGCCATACAGCAAAGCAATTATCCTTCAATAAAAAATAAATAAAATTTTAAAAAAGGTTGTTTTAGCCATTCTATAACTTTTGCTTTTATATGAATTTTAGAATAAGCTTGTTTATATCTACAAAAAAAACTCATTGCTGGTATTTTGATAGCAATTACACTAAACCCACAGATGAGTTTGGGGAAAACTGACATCTTTATTGAGTCATACAATCCACGAACACAACAGTCTCTATATTCATTTAGGTCTTCTTTGATTTCTTTCATTAGCATTTTGTATTTTTCACCATACAGATTCTCTACATGTTTTCTGAAGCTTGACAGTGTATTAGTCGCTCAGTCATGTCTGACTCTTTGCAGCACCATGGATTGTAGCCTCCTACCAGGCTCCCCTGTCCCCTGTTCATGGAATTCTCCAGGCAAGAGTACTGAAGTGAGTAGCTATTACCTTCTCTAGGGAATCTTCCTGATTCAGGGATTGAACCCAGGTCTCCTGCACTACAGACAGATTCTTTACTGTCTGAGCCACCAGGAAAACCCTAATCATTTCATTTTCTTTAGGGTGACTGTAAATGGTCTCATGTCTTTCATTTTGGCTTCCATGTGTTTGTTGTTAGTATATGGAAATGCAATTGATGCTAAAGTAGAATAGCAAGTTTTGACTATGTTGGCATGTGTTTGCCTCTATGGGTGGGTGAGGATATATTAATTCTCTCAGATCCACTTAATAAATGGAAATAAGAATCAGGGTAAATAATCACATTTATATGAATATTTTGTATGCTAATTAGCAATAAATGAAATTGAAATAAAAATGACAAACAAAAGCAGCAAAAAACAAATTATAGTAAAACATTGATGGCAGGTACACTGAGAAACAGGTACAATGCTGAAAGCTCTGTAAAGATTTAGCCAAATCATTCTGGAAAGAAATCTGAAAAGATATAATAATTGATATTAAACTGAACATGTAAGAAGTTTAAGAGGGAAAGGACATATGTATACCTATGACTGATTCATGTTGATGTATGACAGAAACCATCACAATATTGTAAAGTAATTACCCTCCAATTAAAAATAAAATAAAAAAAACTGAACATGCTTCATGCCCTGAAAATTCTGCTTTGGGGAAAATACTTCAAGGAAGTAAGCAAAAGAAAAGTCAAGAAGCTGACACAAAGATGTTTATAGCTACACTATGTATGAGGAAAAACAAAACAATCCAAATGGCCCAAACAGAGGAAAAACTATCAGAGCTGTAAAAAATAATTGTAAATATAATTATACTTACATTATAGTATAATATACTACTATGAAATGTTAAGTAAAAGAAGCAAAAACAAATAATCTATTGACACAGAGTTTAAATACATGTAATGTATTTAAAGTGTCATTATTTAGACCTTAGGAGTGACCATACGATTTTAAACAATATAAATCAGTTATAATGACAGAAGTCAAGATAAGAAATTAAAATGTTCTATAAATTATCTGAGGATACTCCATCCTGTGGCAGAAAATACTTAGTAGATATTTTTAATAAAACAAGTAAAACAAATAATAATATATATACAAATTTTATCATTTAGCTTTCCAGCAAGAACTTGGCTGTCTTCCCTTATTAAGACTCTGTTCTTACTGAAATTTGTTTTGCTTCTTTCAGAAATTAAAGTCAGAACCTTTACTGTTTTCCATACAGCATCTCTGTAGTTTGTATATAATTGAGTTTGGCTGGAAACACTTTTATCTTTCTACTTTAATCACCCTAAATGTCTCTGGAAAAACAATTTAACTTACAACAGACACAGTGATTAATCTGTTCATTATAGTGATCTGTTCAAGTGACACTGAGTTCTTGAATTTTTTTTTCTAGTTAAAAATGCTAAAGATGATGAATAAATCACTATAAAATTATTTGCCTCCATTTCTTGTGCTAGTACAAGTCTTAATCAAATTAAGTGAAACTTTTAAACACTAAATACTACTTTAAAGTAAAATTTTGATTCTTTTTGATACGTGAATAATGACACATAAAGTTGCTAGATTTGTAGTGACATTTAATGGAAACATATGACTTATACCTATTTAGAAGCTTTTGTGGAATTAATCACAAACTTATGTTTGTCTGATTTATATATATATATATATATATATATATATATATATATATATATATTTTATTAAAGTAGATTAAAGTAGAAAGATAAAAGTGTTTCCAGCCAAACTCAATTATATACAAACTACAGAGATGCTGTATGGAAAACAGTAAAGGTTCTGACTTTAATTTCTGAAAGAAGCAAAACAAATTTCAGTAAGAACAGAGTCTTAATAAGGGAAGAGAGCCAAGTATAATTGATTTACAACCTTGTGTTAATTTCTGCTGTACAACAAAGTGATTCTGTTTTACATATATATTTTCTTATTCATATTCTTTTCCATTTAATCACACTATTTGAGTATAGTTACATATATATACATATATATATGATTTAAATATTTTTTTAAAAATAGTTTCCAGACTAAACACAAGGAAAGAGGGATGGCTGAAGTATACAATAATAATGCTTAGGGCAGCTAAAGTATCCAAAAGAGAAGGAAGAGAAAGCTTAGCTTTTGAAACAAAATACTGGTGCTTAGATTTTTTTTTTTAATTCCATATATATATATATATATATATATATATATATATAGTATTTGATAAAAATGTAAACACATTAAATATGTGTTGGGAAAGGATAAAGAGGCCAAGATTCCAGATACAATTATAATAATATTGATACTTCTTGCATCAAGAGTTTATTTAACCATCAATCTTAGCACCTGGAACACATCAGGAAGCTAACAACAAGCCTCAACAACAACAGACTTTCATTCAGAGCTTCTTAACTCTGAATGGACTCACAGTTCTTTTGAGCTTGGGTATCTAGCTTCTGGCAACACAGAATATTAAAAGCAGAAGTTTCTGATGGTACCCAACAGTAATGGAAGAAAGAGGAAGATTTATAAACATTGGACACAAGAACTTAAAGAGATATGTAGATCTTCCTTAACTTGTGATTGGATTACATCTTGATAAACCCATCGTAAGTTGAAAATATTGTAAGTCAAAAATACATTTAATACAACCTCACCTATTGAACATCATAACTTAGGCTAGCCTACTTTAAACGTGCTCAGAGTACTTACATTAGCCTGTAGTTAGGCAAAATCATTGAATACAAAGCCTATTTTATAATACAGTGTTGAATATCTCATGTAATTTATTGAATATTGTACTGAAAGTGAAAAACAGGATGTTGGGTACAGAGTGGTTGTAAGGGTATTGGTTGTTTACCTTCATGATGGTGATGCTGACTGGGAGCTGCTGCTGTCCAGCACCATCATAAGAGTATTGTATCACATATCGTTAGCCCAGGAAAAGACAACATTCAAAGTATGATTTCTACTTGAACGCACATTGCTTTCTCATCATCTCAAAGTCAAAAAATTGTAACTCTGTATACAGAGTCTCTGTATACATCTCAATAGTTCCTAACAGACTCAGTCTAATAAACTGAATTGGCTGCTACTGATTCTGAATCATTATATAAAAGTTACAGTCCATTCAATCAATTCTATTTAGACTGGTTGGGAAGTTTAAAAAAATTTTCTTTACATAAAACTGTAATTTTACTTTTTATATTTATTTATTGGCTGTGCCAAGAGGCATCTGGGATCTTAGTTCCCCAACTAGGGATTGAGCCTAGTTGCCCCCTGCACTGGACGTGCAGAATCTTAACCACTGGACCACAAGGGAAGTACTTGACAACGAGTACTTTTAAATAGACTGTGAATGAAAATGAATTAAGCAGAATAAAAATTTGATGTTTCATAATAATAGCTAACATTTACTGAGTATCTGTCACACACTAGGAACTGTGCTGAAAGTTTAACTCATACATGCATAGAAGGGGTTAGCTTCAATTATCTGAAAGCATTCAATTATATAAAAGATTTCAATACTCAAAGATACTGGTCGAGGTATTATTGTGTTATTACAAACAGTTTTACAGTATCCAGTCAAGGCTTGTACTTACCTACAGGGACAAACGGGGAGTCTCTAGATTTTCTGATCAGTCGGGATAACTGGCCTTCATCTTCATCTGCTGACCACTGGTTATCTGAAGACATTTTTCTCTCTAATAACTAGGGGATAAATGTGGTTGCTATGAATGCTCATAAAGAATCTGCTTCCCTCTTCCAATATACTCTTGATTACGTGTTCTTCATTTGTTTGACATGACTGTCTGCTCAACTGAAATAAAGTTATCTTTCCTTCACCCTCTGCATTGTGGAATCCTTTCATTTTGTTTAGGGGTGGAGGAAAAAGAAATATACAGAGTGGTAAATAATAATCAGATTCCATGAATACAGAGTAAAAACATAGATCATAGAAGTGTTATTCAGTCCCCTTTCACTGCTCAGCATTTGTAATCATTGGGAATCTCAGAACTTCCACAGAGAGTAAGAGCAGAGTTTCTTTTACAAAATACAGTTTTAAAGAATGATGGCAAAGCCAACATAGGCAAAAATAACTCCAGATTTACAGTTATTGGGAGAATGACCACTCCAGTTCTGCAGAATGTGTAGGGTACTATAAAGTCATTGAGATTTTTACCAAGCACCTACCATGTACCAGGTGCTACCCTAGTCAATGGAAATAATCTTCCTTATCTGCACAGGATGAATGAGGAAGCTAGCAAGAGCAACTATAATCACAGTCAACATGATCTGGAAGTATCTGTTTGTTATCCATGCAACCCTCTATTTTTAACCCTCAAATCTGAAATACGATGGCTTCATTCTTTGATATCAATCAGCTTTCATCAGAAAATGTAATCTGGTAAGTGGCAGAAGCACAGTACCTTTAGCGTACTCCACCACTTGCAGCCTGTCTTCTGGTGTTCGCTTAGCAGGAAGCCGTGGATCAGAATAGGCTTTGCAAAGACGAGACACGTTTAGGTGCAATTTCTAACTAATTGATGATGGGAAAGCCAGTGCCCTCGCCCCAGTAAGGGGGAGTGGCCTGCTTGTATTGGCCAAGGTTTCATAAGCCCCAGCTGGAAACTTACTAGCAGCAGGACCTGGACCACAAACATTAGGTTTTCGAAGATAGCATTCAAGGAAACATTAAGCTTTTCAAGAAAAGGCCTTTCCCTCTGCCTTCAAAAGGGCGCTCCCAATTCCCTCTGTGGTTGAGTCCCCGTTACCCAAATCCTATTCCCGAAATTGAATGGAAAGTGGGGGCAGGGTTACAACAGTGGGTTTGTAGGTGGGAGTGGGGTTAGCCTTATGAGGCCAAGACTCTTGTTGTCTTTTAGTGCGCTTGCCAGATGGCCGCCGACGGTGGCCGAGATCTGAGGCTGAGGAGCCGCAAGCCTGTCCCAGCTCATCTGACCGCCAAGCCCTCGCATCTGAGCTCCGCGTGGAGCTGGGAGCGGCACGCTCGCCCTGCCATGAAGGACGTGACATCACTGCGCCCTCGGCCAATCCGAAGGCCCCGGGGCGGGAGACAGACGGTGTGAGGGAGCTGCGCCTGCGCAGCGCGAGGCTACTCTGTCTCCCTGCGGGTGGTGGTGGACCCTGTCTTCGCTGCTTCTGTGAGGGTGGAACCTTGAGGCCTCAGAGAAATTCTGACTTAGGTCTCCCGACTGCAGCCACGAATGCCTCAGGCTGAGGACAGAGAACCAGGTAGAGTTCACGCTTTTACCTTAGAAGTTTGAAATTTTTAATTATTTTAGATTTACAGAAAAGTTCCCAGAATAATACAAAAAACTGTATATCTGATAACTTAGATCCGTCTTTGTTAACATTTAGTCGCATTTGCTTTATCATTTTCCTCTGGATATGGTTTCTTCCTTCCAATGAGCCGCCTGAGAGAAACTTGCACACGGATAGGCCTGTACCCCTATATACTTTGTGTGCACTTGGGCTATTTTCTTTTTTTTTTTTTTTTCTTTCTTACTTTCTTTCTTCTTTTTTTTTTTTTTTACTGTGCACCTGTCTTATCCACCCACTGGTCTGAAGATGCCCGGCCATGCCAGGCAAGGCCAGGGTCTTACCCATGTTTTATCACCCAAAGGCACTATACAGGATCCAGAACAAGGACAGAAGAGATGGGCAAAGATGGCCACTAGCAGGTAGAGGCATCACAAGCCCCTCCTCCACAGGAACCAAGACCCTTTAGGCTGGGCGGAGACCTGGCAGGACCTGGGAGAACCTGCAGTTCTGTCCCCTTCCTGTGCTCCAGATACTGGGCCAGCGCTGTTAGCTTGCCTAAGACACCCAAGATCCACACCCCTGCCCTGCACCCAGGATGAGGCAGGTCCCCACCCTTTAAGTGAGGACATGAGGAGATTTGGGGGACAGGTGACTCAGGGTGGGGCGGGACACACTGCCTGGAGCTCTCCATTCACCCTTGACTCATCTCCACTACTTCCTGGCTTAGGAGAAACACAAACAACCTTGCCTCTACCCATCCCCTCCACTCCCCCACACCCCCCAGAACAGGATTGGGGAGGAGGAAATGTGGGGTGGGGGGGAGGCTGAGGCTCCTCTGACATCATCTCCTCCTCCCCACCTTTGGCCTACCTCCAGTCCAGGTGCAACCTGCAAAGGCCCCCCCAGCCCCACCCCCCATAGCCACCACCCAGCCCGGGAGCCCCCTCACACAGGAAGGAGAGAAGAAAAGCCTGGCCAGGATTCAGAAGCCCATCTGGAGTGGAGCTGACCTCACAGGGGTGTCCCTGGGGTACCTAAAGTAACCCAAAGAAACATGCAGTGCTCTTTCTCCTGTCCGGGGGGCCCCCCAGACTTCCATTCTGCCACTGCTGCTGCCCACCCTTAGCACCCAGGACTCAGCTAGCCCAGGAGGGTCTCATCCTCATCACCCCTAGGAAATGAGGGTCCTTCTAATTCATATACTCTCCTGGGTGTTCTGATCAAAGGCATATTCAGGAGCAGGAGTGGAAAGTCAAGACACACAGGAAGACAGACGCAGACAGGGGAAGGCCAGGAGGGAGAGCCAGCGATGGGGCTGGGGGTCCTGCCAGGAAGGGAAAGATCCACACACCATGGAGCACCAAGAGACACCAGCACATCAACACCAAAACACAAGGCCCCCACTCCCACCCGCTGTCTAACCTCTGGCAAACAGCCCTGCTCACTTCATTCCAGGGAGGACGAGGGGAAGGGCGGCAGGAACCACCCGCTCCAGGAAGAAAGAGACCAACAGTGGCGTGGTCTGAGACCAGGAGGACTGGATCCTCTCCCATCCCAGAGGGAAGGGGAATCTGGGCAGCGTTTGGAAGGGGAGAGGGTAGATCTGAATCAGACTAGAGTCTGGCCTCTGTTGGGGGTGGGAAGGCTGACTCTAGATGGGTTTAGCTTTCAGATCCCATCATCCTTCTGAGACCCTAAGGTTCTCCAGATCCTTCTAAGGCAGGACAGGACTGGGGAGTCAGGACCAAAGAGAGGAGAGGTGGGAGAAAGCGGTCCTGGCTGTCTCCCCTGGGCAGCCCCCTCCACCACCCCCAAGAGACCTGAAACTTTCAAACTGGGGCCCTGGGAAGGTTATATTGAAGAAATCGACCCCCACATCAATCTGTCCCCTTAGTATTGCGACTCCCTTCTGCGACTGCCCCGCCCCCCCCCTCCGTCTTGGGCTATTTTCTTACATAACCATTGTACAAAGAGCAAAATCAGGAAATTAACAGTGCTATAACACGATAATCTCAAGATTTTATTCACATTTCACTAATGGTCCCAATAATCCTTAACAGCAAAAAAAAAAAAAAATTTTTTTCTTGTCAAGGATCCAGTCCACTTCAATACATATTACATTTGGTTGTCAAGTGTCTTTTAGACCCCTTTAATCTGGAACGTTTCCTTAGTTGGTGTATTACTCAAGATACTTCAGAGAAACAGAGCTGATAGGTTTTTATTTATTTATTTTTTTAATATTCATTTGCTTCTTTGGCTGTGTTGGGTCTTAGCTGCAGCACATGGGATCTTCATTGTGACCCATGGACTCTCTAGTTTTGTCTCGCGAACTCTAGAGCTCAGTGGGCTTCAGTAGTTGCAAGTTCTTAAATTTCTGATCCTACCCAGTGACTTTATTTTTCCCTTCTGTGAAATGAATAGTGAAGCTGTCTGCTGAGAGGACATTGTGGAAATGAGTGTGGTGAAGGTTTGTCCTTTGTGGCAAATGAGGGCAAATTATGAGATTTCTTAGCAGCAGTGCAAGTCTAACTCAGATTTTGTGCTTTCTCCTGAGAGCAGCAGAGGAAGAAAATGGCTGGGACCAATTGTTTGCTTAACAAAGGTTAATTGAGTGCTGCAGACAGAAAGGTGTCTTAAGACAAATGCCCTGTCCTCAAGAAGCTTAGAATCAAGTTGTGGAGATGGATGAGTAAAGCAGTGTCACGTGAGAACCTGTTGAGATGATGGGAGGAAGAGGTATGGGCTTATAGGATCTAAAGGATCTTAAAATTCAAACTGGAGAGTTAAAAAATTCTTTTAGAGAAAAGTGGCTTATGGGATTTTTTTTAGAAAACTTATAGATTTTAGGTGAAGAGATGGTAGGGATGTTTCAGGCAGAGGGTACAACTTGTGGAAAGGCCCAGAAGCAAACAGCAAAAGCGGTTTAAGGTGTAGAATTGGGTGGGAGTGGCTTATAGAGGATGGAGCTATATGACCAGTGGGGCCAGTTCATGAGACCCTTGCATTTTATTCATGAAAATTTTTTTATTGAAGTATAGTTGATTTATAATATTGTGTTAGTTTCAGGTGTATAGCAAAGTGAATCAGTTCTCTCTCTCCATAAATACATATCCATTCTTTTTTTAGGTTCTTGTCTCATATAAGTCGTTAACAAAATATTGAGTAGAGTTCCCTGTGCTGTATAGGTCTTTGTTAGTTACCTATTTTGTATATAGTAGTGTGTATATGTTAATCCTAATCTCCTAATTTATCACTTACTCCCATGTTTTCCCTTTGGTAACTATAAGTTTGATTTCAAGATTTGTGAGTCTGTTACTATTTGTAAATAAGTTCCTCGTGTCATTTTTAAAATTAGATTCCACATATAAGTGATATCATGTGATGTTTTTCTCTGACTCACTTCATTAGTA